GCTATATTAATATTATCTACTAGAATCTGTATGTAATAAATATTATATAATAGCATATCAAAAACACAGAATAATCAAAAAGGAAAATGGATAAAGTACAAAAAAGTATTAATGTATAAAATACAATATTAAAATATCATATTTCCAACAAGTTATCAATACCTTAATGTCAGTTAAGAAAAATACTATTCGCCACACGTTGGTACTATTAAAATGTATTGAATCTAGATCGACAGAACCGAGAAGCTATTTGAAGCAAGATATATAATAATTGGTAACGCGCCATTATTAAAAGTAAAATATTAATATTATCTAAATCAATTCTATTGAAAATTGGAGACATATGTATATCTCTATAATCGAGTGATATGAAGATTTTGTAAATAACATAAAATTATGCAAAAGTGAGAGAAGGTTAACTTTAATGTTTCTTTTTTAGTCATTTTCATGCATCTGTCATGCAATCGTATTATCGTTTACAAGTAGAATTGCCATCCGTCCTTTTTTTAGGGCATCTGGGGACGTCCAGGGGGAGTTCCAAAAACGTTTGAAGTAATTATAAGCGTTCGAGGTTTTAAGGAATCTTCTAAATTTTTTACTTTAATTCCTCTTCCGTATTATTCTGTACTATTTATGATTTACAATAGGTTTAGTAATCCTTAAGAAACTGACCGATCACAGTTGAATGTGAAGAAAATATAATCGGCTATATAAAATCGGCTATATCAATCTTTTTTACATTACAAATTAGTACCACTAATCGTAATGAATAATTAGATGTAAAAAAATTATTCGTTTATTGCTTGGATTAATTTTACTAATCTAACGCGCATTGTAGTATATCTCCGTTACTTTAAAAAGAAGACTCGCGGTGTTTCGCGAGTACTCTTACTTTGCATACTCTCGTACTCTTGGACTCGTATAGCTCGTATAGCGCGCATTCAACGTGCCTCGACGTGGCGACGGTGCGACGGCAACACGAAAAACGAAGGGACGAAAGCGAAGAGAAACGAGTCTCGTCGTACTCGGGGAAGTCTTTTGTACCTACTCCCGCGTGACGCAATGGACCCTCTCTCCGAACGAGGTCCCAACCGACTCCCGACTCCCGACGCGGACTTGAGTCGCGTAGCGCTACAGTAGTGGCTGCCGCCGCTCAGAAACTGGACGGGCGGTTGTGGCCAGCTGTGGTGGTGCATTTCCTTCTTCCTCTCTTTTGTCTCTTGCAATCGCCACTAACCTGACTAGTCTCTCCTGAGCCTTCTCTCGAAGCGCGTCCCAACAGTGGTGTTCCTCTTATCCAACGTTTAATTAGATTCCCATTGCATTGATCCTGCGAATAATACAGTGAAAGTACTTGAGAAAAAGAGAGAGAGAGAGAGAGAGAGAGAGAGAGAGAGAGAAAGAGAGTGTGTGTGTGTGTGTGTGTATGTGTTTGTACGTGCACACACGTATGACCAACTGATCCACGTGGTACCGCGACATAAAGACTTACTCTTACTGTGGATACATTTCTCGAGTACACTGAACACCTCGACGATCAAGCGAAGGACATGAGACGGACCGTGGACCTGTTGGTCTGGACGCTGTTGGTCCCGTCGCTCCTATTCGCATCGGATCCCTTGCAGCAGGCTACTGGAGCAACGGTAGAATGCCCACAGAAATGCGTCTGCTACAACAACACAATGCAGGTGCGATGTATGTTCCTAAAGCTGATCCAAGTGCCACGGGTGCCCGCTAATGTCACCGTCCTGTAAGTCGTCTATTTTCTTTATAAAAAGCAATAATTATTTTAACATTCATTCGAAATTTCGATCACTGTGCATAATACATTTTATATAGAGAATATTCTATGTACAAATCAAAATTTGAAATTTTTCTATATGCGAAAATTCAACGCTTACACAAGAAAAATGTATAACCATCGTTGCTCGATTATTAATCAACGTTAGTGGAATTATATGAGTGACGAAAGGTCGAGAGAAAGTTGACGTCCATATTCGCTCATATGGGAAAACACTAATCGAGATGTACGATTAAGTTAAGAAGACCGCAACTAAGCGCTTTCTCACATGTGAAAAATATGCGTTCGTATTTTTCGCACAGTATTATTTATTATGTTTTGCAGAAAGAGAAGAATGATATATCGTGTTCCAACGGTAGAGACTTATTCCAAGAACTCATCGTACTATAAACTATAATTAAATAGTAATTAATAATAGTAATAATCGCATTGTAATCGATCTGCACAATTATCTGCAAGAAATCTTGAATAAAAAAATTTTTTAATATCGGAAATATGCTCTCTCAAAGCGGGAGGGAGAGAGAGAGAGAGAGAGAGAGAGAGAGAGAGAGAATTAGATTTTAATCAGTAAAAATCAGCAAATGCACAAATTTGAAATGGAAATCTAATTCAGCAAACAAGTGTACAAGTTATCCATTTAAGGCAAATTAGATCAACAAAACTAAAAATCGTCGATTATTTAAAAAGATTGTTTAGTAGTAACTATTTTCAATTTATGTCTTGTAAATTTCCTGTAACATTTAAATAGAACAAGATATATATATACACACATAAATATATATATAAGTTACGATGTGACGTTAAGTGGAGTTTCGGAGAAACAGAAGAATGAACAGAAACGAAAGAGAATGGAGCAAAGGCAAATTCGCGCGCGCGCGCAATGCAAAACCACAGACTTATTTAAAATCACATTTTTTATGTTCATACAGTACTACATGAATATACATATATTTTATGAATTAGTATATTTAGGTAATTTTTCCAGATAAAAGATCTCGATCGATGGAATTTGTTTCGGGCTTTATTTTTATACACGAATATTACATTAGCGCATATCTTATTCTATTTAAATGTTACGGGAAATTTACAAGACATAAATTGAAAATAGTTATGACCAATTAGGCAATCACATATTAGAGACGCGAAATATGAATGACGTATTTTGAACAATCGGCTTTTATGAATGTCCACCTGATCTAAGCTCTTATTGCAGTTATGTCATTCTTAATTACGTTTTAAAAAGAATAATTTTTCTTTTCTTTACAAAAAAATAGCATCGAAGCATTGATTTATAACACAAATGTGTCTTTCTGATAAATAATAAAACGTACAACATACTTACATACATATCAGACTCCGCTTACTTCAAAAAGCGCATATCCCAAAAAAAATATTTATTACTTGAAATAAGAAAACGGTAATGTGATATCGCAATATATAAACGGCCGACTATTTTATCGTTTCACCTCGATTTATCTTGCGGTGATATGTGTCATTGATACCGTGTAGGTATCCCATAAACTTTGACGCGCTTATTGGAAAAAATAAGACGATAAAATCTACAATCTGTACGAAGAGTATATAAGTTCTTTATCATTTTTATTGTAAGTCGTTACGCAAAATCTCGGACAAAGACATGGTAAACATTGGCGAATCAGTTTGCAATTCTATGAATCAACGATAAGTGTAATTAATCCTATTTGTCTTAACGTGACTTCAAATGTGTTACATTGAATTGTAATCGTATACGTATCTTTTTTTAATTTATATAACAACTTAAAAATTATTGCTATGAAATTGCAATTTTCTTTGTCCTAAAAAAAACTATCATTCAATAGAGATTCAGCATTATTATGCTGACCCTATTACGTTATTAGATGACACAGATCATTGTGTCATCTAACCTTAGAACACATTGTGGAAATGTAAATCTAGAATTCTCAATTAGGAAATACAATTTCATCTGTTTTTTATTCTTTATATATTTATGTAATAAATGTATATATTTATGTATGTGTAATTTTCTCTCATGCGAGATTTATTAAATCATTTTAAATAAATAAATGATAAAATAAATAATTTTTCAATTGTATATATTATTAGGTTGTTCGAAAAGTAATTCGTTTTTTCCCAACAGAGGACTTATCGTATTTTTTCACAGCCAACTTCACAGTTAAGCCGCATAATCATTATATATTTTGACAGTTGATATAACAAGGCTTGTTTATGAAAAAAGTTCGATTGATTCTACGCAGTAGTTTTTGATTGGTGCCTTATCAAATATGAAAGTGAAAAACAGCATTTTCGGCATATTTTATTTTTTTACTATCGAAAAGGTAAAAATGCTGTTCAAGCAAGAAAAAAATTATCCGATGTGTATGGAGAAGATGTATTGACAGAACGCCAGTGCCAAAACTGGTTTGCAAAATTTCGATCCGGCAATTTTGATGTTGAAGATGCACCACGTTCTGGAAGGCCAGTTGAAGCTGATGAAGACACAATAAGGGCATTAATTGATGCAAACCGGCGAATAACAACTCGTGAGATCGCTGAGAGATTAAATTTATCGAATTCGACCGTTCATGATCATTTGAAACGCGTCTGATTGAAAATCGTCTTTTATTTTCATAAGAAAAAACGAAATTACTTTCCGAACAACCTAATATATATGCATGCATATAAGAAATATGTTTTCTCATCATGTTATGTAAAATAATAAATTCGGAAAAAGATGTACGATTAACCAAGCATTTGGAACACATTATACGAATGCATCTCCAAAATATAAAGTTTTGAAATATAAAGTTTCCGAAATATAAAGACTCTTTGATAAATTTTGCAATCGCTGCTCATATGGCGGTGATGAAATTTTGTTGAAATAAAGAACATCAAGTAAATACAATTCATAGATTCTCTACATAATATTATTTCTTGTATCACATAAGCCAAAGAAAAGTTTTCGTGATTAAATCCTTTTTTTCTCTATGTCTCTATCTCTTACGCTTACACAAATACGATTATATAATTTATATTATTTTGCTTACTATTTCTGTAACGATGACCTACCCAATACTCTAAAGCCTAATCTCGTATCGTAGCGTTGCGAGTAATGTATTGTAAGCGTCGTGTGACTTTAAACTTGGATTGGCTGATGTAACAAGCTTGTAACCTACAACGTCTGCAACAATACGATCAATGTAGAATGGGTCTAACGTATTTAACACACGTTTATCATAGATTCGTTAGATTCAGAAAGATTTTATTTAGCTCAAAAGAAACAAAAGATTCTTTTTCACACATCTGTTGAAAAAATTGTAGCTGAATAAGAGTTTGAGTTCTCTTCTGACAATCTCAGTGCCAATGAAGCAGCATGGATAATAACTTGTGCGAAAAAGTTGATAAACTCAGGCATCGTATGACGATTGCATAAAGTTAAGAGAAAATAATAAAATATAAGTCCAGGTCTACAATGAGTCGGTATAGTCGATAGTCCTAAGTTTTATGAGTGAATCAGTCAAGTTGGCTAACAGCCAACTTGTACGATTATCAATTTTCTTTCTGATTGGTCGAGCCAAACGACTTACTGTACAACTAATGATTCATTATGGATGCGAAAAATCGTAGTCTATTTAGGTTAAGATTTAGGACTTTCGACTACCGATTACCGATTCACTGCAAACCCGGTGTATCATTATTTATGCAAAGTTTCGCATAAATAATATCGTTTTTAAACAATTAATAAACAAGAAGAGCATATGTTTCTATAACAATGAGTCATGCACATACATATAAATATTGCACTTTTTGGCAAGTAATTTAAAATAAATCGGATTTGAATGTTTTATTTTTATTCATATTATTTATTTATCTAATAAAAATGTATTATTCGATCATTTGAAATTTATTTCTGATTGCACACGATATATTTTTGTATTATAACCATTATGCGTTTGACTGAATTCCCATATGAATTAAACTTAAAATCTCGATACATTTAACATGCAATTACTGTTTTATTCTTTAAAATTAAAATTATAAAATATAAAAAAAATATATGTAAGTAGTTACACAGTGTCTGCTGCATTTGTCGGTCGATAATCAATGAAATATCCAATAGAACGTTGACTGAAATATTGAATATTTTTAATTATTCGTCGAAGGTCTCGTTGAATAAATATATGTGTATATATTATACTTATGGGGCGATATCGATATTCGTTGAGATATTCGTTTCTTGTGCTACGCACAATTATAATCTTTGATTACATAAAATAGCGTGTGCAAAAAATTACGCTGTGTATACAGTAAGAAATTATATATACTTGCTCGATTAAACTACTTGCGATCTGATGTGAGATGTCCACGCATTAGCACATAAATATGCGTTAAGAATCAGTAATTCTCGATATTTTGATAACACATAGAAAGCAATTTCTTTTCTTCTTCAATATTAACAATATTTAATACATCAAAATTATCTCTCTCCCTCTCTTTCTTTCTCTCTCTAATTGTATCTCTTTATACATATCTGTTGTAGAAATAATTAAAAATGTATTCATTTATTTTTGTTTTACTATATACAATACTTACACTTATATAAATGATAACGTCAACGTTTATTAAAACATTATGCGCATTGCCTTTTGGATTGTAGATACAAAACAAGGCATATCAATTCGAGAAAGTGAATTCGCATTCCGCAAGGGGACAGATTACATCATCGTTATAATTGTAAATATAGTCGTGCATCTCTCAGTGAATCAAATGGCGAAGCTGTAGCTTCGATGAAATCTGTGCTGAATATGGTTCAGAAGAGACGGGTCGTCTTCCTAGAACATTCATCATTCTCATGATGTCCGCTTCATATACTGCTACTAGTATCGTTAATTCATTTGCGATCTACGTTATTAATTATGAGCCTTCGCGACGTTAAATGAATAAATCACCAATATTTATATGCATCCATGCACTTACATGTATATGTAATATATATTTCTCGAAACCTGCTTCACATTTCATAACTGATACAGTCAACATTAACGCGATGTTTTATTAAGGCCTCGTTTAAAGTATATCATTTAACTACCGTGAAATGTGAAATTGTCTGCAGAGTAATTCAACGTCAGAGTAAAGGAATTGAAGCTAATTACTGGAATCGCTTTCTTTCGTACAAAATGGTACTATAATTTTTTATTTTATTATAATTGCCATATACGCGTGTATGTGTGTGTGTGTGTGTGTGTGTGTGTATGTGTGTGTAACTAATAATGTTTACTAGTATCTAGATAATCTCTCTTATCAAAGTAATTAGATCTTCATCTTAAATAATTTGAAAAAAGATATCACATTTTATTTGAGATACAGATAAAGGTAATATATATATGTCTAGTAAAGATAAGATAAAATAACGCCATCTAGATTATCTAAATATTTCATTTAAATACCAACAAACAATGTATACGACTATAAAACGTAACGTTTATATTAACAGCCATTATTCTACATTATATATCGATGCCTGAGCTATATCGAAGGTGTTATATCGAAAAAAACATGACGAAAGGTCCATGTCAAAAAATGAATGAAAAGTGATCTATTTCGCGAGAGGCATGAAGACCGATCTATGTCGGAACGCATACGAAGTACAGTTTAGTACTTCGAGAAAGTGAGAAAAACGGTTTATAATTTATATACATATAACGGTATATAATTTGTATACCGTTATATATGTATTAATGAGACATATTTTAATTCAATAATCTTTTTTAATAAACAAATTGGAATAAGCAAGAATGTAACTTACTAATCAATATTTATTTATGTTAATAGATACATCAGTCCATCTATCGATGAAATAATAATGATTGTTATTTATTTCGTCTTATATCTCAAGAAGTGCTTACGAATACTTTTGCTCATTTCATTATATATAAACGAGTAGGCGCGGAGAAATAGATTTATAACTCCGATATTCTCGCCCACATACGAAATTCCGTGTTCCAGATATTTATATCGTATTTAGCGTAGAGAAAGCAACCGAAACACGATTATTATCTGATCTACGATCTGAGATTGTATATGAAATAAATAAAATGACCATATTATCCAATTTACTTCTATCTTGTCGCGAAAATAAACGCGAATGCAAATCTCTGATATCTTGTAATATGTTTTTAATTCCCATTGTCGCAAAACGTTAATAAATAATTACGTTCGTATTTAATTATCAGTAATTGTGAGATATGTAATTTATATATATATAAAAGCTCCTTCTTCCCGAGAAAGATAATCTCACACTCATCCCGAAACTCGAAATTCTTTCAGAGATCTCCGATTTAACAGCATCGCGGAAGTGCGCGGGGGATCATTTCACGGACACAATCAATTGCATACCTTACTACTGAACGACAACCACATTCGACGGCTGCCGATAGGCGCGTTCGAAGGCGCACCGAATCTACGGATACTTTACTTATATAAAAATCGCATCGAGCACATCGCGCCGGGCGCATTCGCGGGGTTGCCACGGCTCGAACAGTTGTACCTGCACCACAACCATCTGCGGGAAATCCGACCGGGCACGTTCAACAATCTGCCGGCGCTGGAGCGTCTATTTCTGCACAGCAACAAGCTTCATCGGTTGCCGGCGAATGCGTTCGTCAACGTTGGTCCGATGACGCGGCTGCGTCTCGACAGCAACGCGCTCATCTGCGATTGTAATCTGGTCTGGCTGGTGGAACGCCTTCAGGACAAGCCTACGGAGATGGCGGCAATTTGCCAATCCCCACATGAGATGAAGGGTCGCTCCCTAACTACAATGTTGCCCGAGGACTTTCATTGCAGTTGAGTAAAAGCACGCGTATGCCGAGCAGGAGAGTACGATTTATACATATATAATGTATCATCCAAGGGCAATAAACTGGATTACATTAGGCAGCTCATTTCCAGACAATATATAATTATTTATTATAATTAATGAAGTAAAAGAAAAGTTTTCGACATATTTTACAAGAATCTATCTATTGTATTGTTTTATTTTTATATTAGGTATCTATTGCAAGAATTTTTATTTTATTGTGTACCTTCTCGCTTCTCATGTCACAATCTAAGAGAATAAGTTAAGACATCGAACGAATAGAACTCTTAAGCTTATATAGTAAAATTGTTCAAGTCCTTAATTTTTAAAAAACAAAGTGAATAAATTTCCCACTCATTCCCCAGTTATTTCTCTTTTAGTCGACTTTTGAATACTTTCCTAGGAAACAGTTTATTGTTGTTTCATTGTTCTTTTCGTTATTCGTTATATTACATATCAATTACACATTGCTCACATGATTGTAACATTATCACTGATACAACTTAATGTCGATTACGTCGTTGTGGTCATTGACACGTCGGCCATTGCTCTGCTGCATCTCATGTGATGATGGCTCTTGCTAGGATGATCCGTGTATCTCTATCGCGTGATCCCTCATTATATCGAAACTTTCAATCAACTGATTGTCGCTCATTAATTCAAAAACTTTAAACTTTCAAATCGATGATAATGGAGCGGTAGCAATTCTAAAACTATATACTTACTTACAATTAGTAATATTAATATGACTATCAATTCGTAGAAAATTACACGTATTTAGAGTCTCTTATATAATAAATAAAATCATATGATCCTCTCCGTATTATTCGTACGAGCTCGCAATGAAAAGTTCGAATAGAAAGTAAAAGCAGATAAAATAAATAGATAAATGAGACGCAATATATTGTATATATGTATCGCAAAGTTAGAGAAGATGTAAAAAAAAGAAATGAGAGGAACACGATAAAATAAATAATCTCATATCCATTTATTTAATTTTTCCTCAAAATTTTCGTCGTAATAGAAGATTCCTTTTGCAGCAAAACCGCGTATCGTAGAAGGTCCGGAAGACACCGTAGTGCGATTTGGTGACACGATAACGTTGACGTGTCGAGTAACAGGTGATCCAACACCAAAGATCAAATGGATGAAGAATACAAGATACTCGTGGGAGGCGGACGATGATGATGAAAAGTATGTAGTAATTCGTGAGGACGGCGAAAAGTACGTGATTCGCGAGGACGGCACCTTGGTGATCTTTGGCACGACCGAGCAAGACGGCGGGATATACGAGTGCGTAGCTAGCAGCGATATGGGTTCGGCCAAATCCAGAAAGGCCAGAGCAGTGATTACAGCGGCGTCTCAGTTAATACTCGCTGAAAGACCAGAATCCCAAAACGTGACCGCCGGTACCAACGTGACCTTTTCTTGTCGAGCATTGGGTAATCCTAGACCCGATACTCGCTGGTTTAGAGACGGCCGATCAATCCCCTTCAACGATAGAATCTCGCTCGAGAACGACGGCACGCTGTTACGTATCCTCGCGGTTAAGGAAACCGATGCGGGCAAATATGAGTGTTATCTTAGGAGCACCGATCACACGGTTCATCTCTTCGCAAATTTGAGTGTCGTAGATTTGACGGCGCCCCGATTGCTATTCAGACCGCAAGACATCGAGGTGGAACTGAACGCCATTGTCGAGGTACCCTGCCGGGCTGAGGGTATCCCGAAGCCAGTGATCCAATGGAAAAAGGACGGTAGCGCGCTCGAGGGTAACAGAGTCAAGATCACACGCGGAGGAAGTCTTCTTATTTTTAACGTGACTCCACAAGACTCCGGCAGGTAAGATTGAAACACTAGCATGACCGCCGAGAGCGCGGTCATTAACTATCATCTTTATTTTCAATGAGGAGATTAAAGGAGTTATTTTTGTGAATGCATGTGTAGAAATTATTTCTCACGTGGTTTTTCATTTAAAAAACATAATAATAATTAGTAAATTTGAAAAAATAATTCGTATTATACAATATTATTAATGATTATTAATTCGGTGCGATTTTATCAATCTTTTTGGCTACGTTGATAATACGGAAAAGAGTTTGATAAGAGTTAATATCTACAATAATAAAAATTCAAATCGTGCTTCCATTGCATCAATCGATCCTGTGCGCAACAATCATCTTCCTTTTGCAGGTACGAGTGTTCAGCTATAAACGATTATGGCCGCGCAACCGGCGATGCTTTGGTGCGCGTTCGGCAGCCCGGTGCAACGGATACACTCGTCATACGAGCCTTCCAAAGTGCCACCGAGGAGATCGATCGTGCCATTAATAAAACTCTATCGTCTCTCTTTAATTCGGATGGCTCATCGAAACACGTTGATCCGTTCCGTTTGACACGGTTTCCGAACGCGATCGATCGCGCGGCCGCTAGACCCGCCGAGCTCTTCGAAAGAACTCTCATCAATATTCGACGTATGGTGGATACTGGCAATAAAGCAAACGTGACTGGTGAATTCCGCTACGAGGAAATCTTGACAGCTGAACAGGTAAAGTTGATCATCAAGCGTACTATCATACTACATATGTATACATATATATATATTTATATATATAAAGGGTGTCCCAAAATTAACGCAAGATTTGAATTTGCCGCCATTTGTGCAGTAAAGTGTTGGCAACCAAAAAAAAAAAACAATTTAACAGCTGACAGTTTAGGGTTAAAAAATGAGTTCGTTGAATGGATTATTGAATCATCAACAAATGGATGCTGATTTTTCGAGCAAAATCATCCTAAGCGATGAAGCACATTTTCACCTTGATGGCTTTGTTAATCGCCAAAATCGCCCCCTAGGTCGTGTGATTTAACATCATTAGATTTCTTTTTATGGGGTTATTTGAAATCACAGGTCTATGTCAACAAGCCCACAACCACCCGTGCATTAAAGGAGGAGATTCAACGCTGCATCAACGAAATTCAGCCACATTTATGCAAAATGGTCATAAAAAATTTCGACAAACGAGTGCGTATGTGCATGCAAAGCCGTGGAGGCCATTTGCCCGATGTGTTATTCCACAAATAACCCTATCCTGTGTACTTTATGATTCAGTAAAAAAATAACAATCTCAAAAGACTAAAAACTGTGTTTTCTATTTAATTCAAATCTTGCGTTAATTTTGGGACACCCTATATATATATATATATACATCAGCTGAAATTACGCTGCACATCCCGTTGCAGGTGAAAAAAATCGAACGATTGTCCGGGTGCACCGGTCATAGACGTCGGCAGAATTGCACCAACAGGTGCTTCCACCACAAATATCGGGCTATAGACGGCAGTTGCAATAATCTGCGCCATTCTACTTGGGGTTCGTCGCATACAGGATTCCGGAGGGTACTGCAACCCATCTACGAGAATGGATTCTCGATGCCGGTCGGTTGGGAGAAGGGACGACGATACTACGGTTATCCGAAGCCCGCCGCACGTCTCGTGTCGACCACGGTAATCTCTACCCACGCGATTACGTCAGACGATCAGATTAGCCACATGGTGATGCAGTGGGGTCAATTCCTGGACCATGATCTCGATCATGCGTTACCGTCGGTATCGAGCGAATCGTGGGATGGAATAGATTGCAAAAAATCCTGCGACAACGCCGCACCTTGCTTCCCGATGGAAGTGCCGCCAGGTGATCCGCGCATCAGCAACAGACGGTGCATCGACTTTATCAGAAGTAGCGCCGTGTGCGGCTCTGGCGCGACCAGTATACTGTGGGGCGGCTTGACGCCTCGAGAACAGCTGAACCAGTTGACCAGCTATTTGGACGCGTCGCAGGTCTACGGCTACGACGACGAGCTGGCGCGCGATCTGCGTGACTTCACGACGGATCGTGGCCTGCTCCGGGAAGGTCCCACACTTCCCGGTCACAAGTCCCTCCTTCCATACGCGTCTGGTCAGTTTGTCGACTGTCGCAGGAATCCACTGGAGAGCTCGATCAATTGCTTCGTAGCCGGTGACATTCGTGCCAACGAGCAAGTCGGCCTGCTGGCCATGCATACTTTATGGTTGCGCGAACACAACCGCATCGCTCGCGCGCTACGCGAGATGAATCCACACTGGAATGGCGAAAAATTGTATCAGGAAGCGAGACGTATCGTCGGCGCAGAGATGCAACACATCACTTATCGACACTGGCTGCCGCGAATATTTGGATCGGCGGTCGAGGATTCTATGTTGGGACCGTACCGAGGCTACGATCCCAACGTAGACGCCAGCATATCCAACGTTTTCGCCACCGCCGCTCTACGTTTTGGCCACTCGCTCATCCAACCGCGTCTAGAGCGACTGAACGCGTCCTTCCAACCGATTCCTCAGGGTCCTCTCAATTTGCGCGATGCCTTTTTTGCGCCTTGGCGACTAGTCGAAGAAGGTGGCGTCGACCCGCTGATCCGAGGTATGTACGTCACGGCGGCGAAACTGAAGCTGCCCGAACAGAATCTCAATGTCGAGCTCACCGAACAGCTATTCCGTACCGCTCACGCGGTTGCGCTCGATCTAGCGGCGATGAATATCCAACGAGGAAGAGATCACGGGCTTCCTGGCTATGTAGAGTGGCGCGATTATTGCAACATGTCGCGCGTCGAGACGTTCGAGCATTTGAATAATGACATCAGCAGCGCTCGTGTGCGGCAGAAGCTGCGCGAATTATACGGTCACCCAGGCAATATAGACGTTTGGGTTGGTGGTATTCTTGAGGATCAGTTGCCGGGGATGAAAGTCGGGCCGTTGTTCAAATGTCTCCTACTGGAGCAATTCCGGCGAACCCGGGACGGCGATCGGTTCTGGTACGAGAATCCAAGCGTCTTTCGTGCGGAACAGCTCGTCCAGATTCAGCAAGTGTCACTAGCCAGAATCTTATGCGACAACGGCGACAACATCACTCGCATACAACCCAATGTGTTTCTACTGCCCGAGAGTCATAATGACTTTGTCAGTTGTGACGAGATTCCTTACGTAGACTTGAACGCGTGGTCTGACTGCTGCGAAAATTGCGAAGATCGTGATAATACTATCTCCCGCGTGCGCAGAGAGGCTGAGAAGTATTTTGCACCCAGTCGTGACTACGTTAAGGACACCGATTCGTTGAGTCGCGAAGAGGAAATCGAATACTTCCAAAGGATGTTTGGTGAAAGCAATCGAGAGGCTAAGCGTTTGCAACAACAGTTTGACAATTTGTTACAAAGAATTAAAAAACTCGAGTTATTTTTTAAAGACATTAAAACACAATAGAGAAATTAAGTGTATACTTGGATTATTCTCTCTCTCTCTCTCTCTCTCTCTCTCTCTCTCTCTCTCTCTCTCTCTCTCTTCCCCTCTCTTTCCAGCAGATAGTAACGCTCTTACATTTCTAATATATGCCATATTTTTTATGCATTTATTGTTGTAAATAAAAGCATTTGCAAAAACTTATAGCAAATTCGATTGGGCGCACTCAGTACACACTGGTGCACATCAAAGCCATACACAAAATAACGTAAAGATATGTTTATACATAACATAGAAATCGATTAAATCCTGAAATATTCAATACATTTTATTATTACTGTTAAGTAAACTATGTATTTTATAATTCGAAATATTTGCATTTCACTTTTATACTCGAATTAAATCAATGTACAATGGCTTTAACATGCACCAGTGCGCATTAATTCTTCCAATCGAACTCGCCATTAATTAATTATTGGTCGTCACTTCTTTTAGACTAATGCAAATAATGTTAGCAAGGAACACATGTATAATGCAATATAGGCCGAATCATGCATATCGTAGCAACGCTTAAACCACTTTTATAATAAAGCTTATATATATATATACACATATACGTAGGTCGTTTTAAAAGTTTTGAGCCTCAACATGAAGATGACATTACTCGTCAAAACCATTTTGGTACTACAATCGTACATGCTTTAAAAGATGTGGAAATTGTAGCCCTTTTAGATGCTCACACAGTTGTTGTTTGACAGTCATTTGTGCCAGTCGATGTCAGTGTTTTTATAAAAATGGAAAAAATCGAATATCGGTACCGATTAAATTCTTGCATTTGGGAGGCAATATGCCTGCGCAAATTAAAAGCGTTTACGGATTACGGACACACTGCCTCATTATTCGCCACCGTGAAAGATAGGCAGCTGAATTTAAACCAGGGTCGTACCAGCTTGGCTGATGAGCGTTCGGGACGACCAACATTTGCGACTATCATCGATAACATCGAAAAAGTTCACCAAATGATACTGGGCAGCAAAATCGAATCAAAGTGATATCAGAGGCTGTGAGTATATCGAAAGAATGTGTTTATCATACATTGATGATGAATTAGACATGCGTAAACTAACCACGTTGGATGCCGCGCTTGCTCACTGTGAACCAAAAACGCATTCGAATGAACATTTCCAAGGCTCTGTTGGAGCGGATTTTTTAATGCGTCGATTAATAACTGTTGGCGATGAAACTTGGATCCACTACTTCACTCCTGAGATGAAGGAACAGTCAAAACAGTGAATTGCGAAGACTGAACCTGCTCGATCCGAAGAAAGTGACAATGATTTCATTGGCCGGAAAAGTGATGGCGACTTTTTTTTTTTTTTTTTTTTTTTGGATTGTCATGGAATTATGTTCATCGATACACAACTTATTAACGATACTCTTATGCGAATAACACATCACAATTTATATACTCTTTAGTTTGTATATTAGAATATACGACTTACTGATGAAGATCCAAAATAAAGATCGAAACGTTTATGTACTTATTTATGTTTAAAATAAAATATTATTTGCACCCCTACATCTAGTGCTGACTCATATAGGCTTTTTATACGCATTATAGATTATGTTCAGTGACTGTCTTGAAAAAGATAAACAATAATAGAGGTGTATTACTCATCATTAATTGGCAGGCTGATGGCAGAAATTGTGAAAAAACGGTCGTATTTGAAGAAGAAAGTGCTGCTTTCCATCAAGATAGTGCACTATCTCACACTTCAACATGGTAAAAATTCATGAATTTCGGTTCGAATTGATTGATCACCCACGTATTCACTAGATCTAGTCCCCAGCGACTTTTTTCTGTTTCAAAGTTTAGCTCGGAGGGCAAAGATTTTCATCGAACGAACATGTCATCGCATTCGTAAAAGCATATTTTGCAGAGCAAGACGCCAAATATTGAATAAGTTAAAGGAATGGGAACATCGCTGGGAAGTGTATCGACTTAAAAGGAGACTACATTGAAAAATAAAACTAAATTTGACAAAAAATACTTGTTATTTCTGTTAGGTCCAAAACTTTTCAAACGATCCTTGTATGTATGTGTGTATATATATATATATATATACATATACATATGTAATTACAGTGTATTCTACTCTTTATTTTATGTACATTTATTGACATTTGAATCAAACTGATCTTAGTTTCTTTGCATAAATGACTATCCAAGGTATTTCGTTTGTTGCCCACGAGCAACAATATCCTTACCGTCGTTCTTTGTGAGTTCTACCGCGAGAAAACCTAAATTCTTTCCAGTACGTATAGTTTTAGCATCAACCGTCACTATTTCACCAGGAAATGCAGCCTTCAAAAATCTGTGCCATTATATTAATAATTATTCTGTTCTACTGTACAATACAATAGCATATATATTTTTTTTAACTAATAAAAATTATAGTAAGTTATATACAATTGTTATATTCAATTTCTAGTCTCTAACCAACATCTATCGTAGACTGTATATATATTTATATTAAAATGTAAAATAACGTAATAATGTAATAATCCAGATAGCAAAGCGTGTCTCAACAAAATCGAGTAAATTTGTGATTACGATATCTTGCAACGTGTCATAGATTTATCTTCAACGATTTCGAATATACCGACATTGTAGTAACATGCAGACAATAATATGTATATGATTGCCAGCAATTAGCAACAAAATAGTTGCGTTAATATTATCTTGCGTTGGTCGGCAATATGACAGCATTGCATGATGCTGCATATTATTATGGTAACATGATGGCAATAGTATGAATTTTAATGATGACGATTTTAAAGTTGCTGGCAAATTACTACTCAATGTTATCATATCGTGAAGGCATCAAGTTGCCAACAAATGAGGACTTAGTTATAGCAATGCATACTTAGCAAACAACAAGACAGATACATCTTGCTATCTGGGAACTAATAAAATAATTAAAACATGACAAAATAAAAAATCTAATAAAAATTTCAGATCAAAATCTTACGTCACGTGCAGATCTACAGAAACACCAGGAGGAGGATCATATTTGTGAGTCATTAATGCATATGTAGATACACAGTCTATAACAGTAGCAGTAAAACCACCATGTAAAAAACCACCAATATTCAAATGTTCCTCAGCCACAGTAAATTGTGCTTTGCACTTTCCATCGCCAGCCGACAACAACTTTATCTGTTCAGAAAAGTCACAAATATATACTGCATTATATTAATTATTTTTATTTACATATAGTAGCAAATGTATAACACAAAATAATGAATAGGTTAGATTTAATTATATATTAAATATTAATAGATGAAATGAAATTTTTTGTACTTACATTTTTCATACATCGACCAAAGCCTTTGCCATTCGCCACTTTCTCCAAAACATTTTTTATAAGTTCCATTTTACACGACATGATCTTTCCCGTATTCAGAACACGCGCTTACAATATTAGCGCATTAACGTACTACAGTTTACGTTACGCATATTATAGAATTTTAGAGATATAGAATGTAGGCCCGTACTCAGAACGTGTTTTTACAACGATGTTAGCGCGTTAAATTATAGTCAAAGGCGCTAACATGTTATAATTTACATTACGCATACTATAAACTTTTAGAGATAAAAGCACGCTTTTATTGATAAAACCGCGTTCTGGTTCATATATAGTGACTGTGAAATATAATTAAAAGTCAACGTGTTTTTATTGATAAACTGTTAAAATTTAAGCGATTAAGAATAAGAAATACTGATAATATGGTACTAATTTTATGATTTATTAGTTTCGTAGACGTGTGTATTTTAAAATTTTAATAATACTTGATTTTTATTTAAAACTGATTTTTAATGTTATCATCTGAGTTTGATTATCAGTAGAAATGCTAACTGCCAGAGAAAAAATTGTAATTTTTCAACAATAAGATATTATAGCAAATTAAAAATATGCGTACTTATTTGTGCAGTATTTATATAATTAAAAAATCACGAATTTAATAAATGTATTTTCGAAATTAAATGTATTCACGAAAATTTGCCCAAGACTGATCGCGTTTTTAATAA